ACACAGCTTTAGTTTGCTTGGCTCCACAGTCAACAGTCTTGGCACCAGCAGCCAGGAAATTAAAAGGTGCATTGCCATGGGAAAGTCTGCTGTTAGGGACCTCTCCAAAGTACTGAAGAGCAATGGTGTCTCTCTGGAGACTAAGGTGCATCTGATACAGGTCATGGTCTTCGCAATCACTTTTTATGAATCAGAGAGTTGGACAATGACCAGGGAGGATAGAAGAAGAATTGATGCCTTTGAGCTGTGGTGCTGGAGAAGAGAATTGAGAATACCATGGACTGCTAGGAAAACAAACAGTAATTGTGAAGATCATGGACTGGTATCATTGCTTTCAGTCCTCTGGAAAGGTCCCTGACAGCTGACTTTCCCAATGAAATTCATCTTTTGATTTCCTCACTGGTGGTACCAAGAGTGTTGATTCTGGAGCCAAGCAAACTGTAATTAACCTCTTCACCATCTACCAAGATGCTGCCAATTGGCCCAGTGGTGAGAATCTTTGTCTTTCTGATGTTGAGCCTCAATCCATACTGAAGACTATAGTCCTTGACCTTCTGCTGCAAGCGCTTCAGGTCCTCCTCAGTTTCAGCAAGCAGGGTTGTGTCATCTGCATAACACAAGTTCCTCCCATCCTAATGCCACATTCCTTCTTATAGAGTCCAGCCTCCCAGATGATCTGTTCGGCATATAGATTGGAAAGGTGAGAAATATTATTTAACTAACTTCTGGGACCAGATCTACCCAGCCATCTCATAGTCTACATGGAGAGAGACAAGTAGAGATAATTACCAAAAAATTATGATATTTATTATGGCTGAAATTAACAGAAATGAGGAATCAGAGATTTCTGGATTGATGTAGATAATTTCAGAAATCATAGTCAAGAACGGGTAGTATTGGGGTTGGAAGAACGTTACAGGCTCAGAACATAGCACATACATAAGGGCTTCATGCTTGGAAATACAGTACCCATTTGAAGATCCCTGGGACTAGTTATTCCATAAAGAGACAGACCTTAAAGGCTAGGAAGGGAGCAGGTGCATGGTTTAGGTGCCCAAATAAGCCCTTCCCTAAGTAACTGGGCAGTCACTGTAACCAGGTCTGTAACCAATGCTATGACAGGTGCTTTTGAAGGCCACATATGGTACCACTCTCACTCTTGGGCTCCACATGGAGCCTGCCTTCTTTCCACCTCCCTTTCCTGAAAATAAAGCCCTTGCCTAGCTCTATTTTACTTCAAGCCCCACTTTCCCCTGTGGGAAATAAGTTTAATTAAGTTATTCTTCCCTGATTCCTTGTGAATTTTATTGAATTTTCCTTTCCAAAACCTGTTGGTTTTGTTTCTGCTCTCAGATTACAGAAAAAAAAAATGGCCTGCCAGCTGCCTTCTTTATAAAATCATATTCAACCTTTTAGTACCCTCTCTATTTTCCATGGCACTAAGTCCTCAGTCTCCCCTTGTGAGAGGCTGAATGGCGGCCCCCAAGGATGTCCTAGTCCTGGTAAACATGACTACACTACTTGGCAAAAGGGACTTGGCGGATGTGATTAACCTCAGGACCTGGAGATGGAATGGTTATCTTGGAGCATCTAATTGACCTCACATCATCACAGGAGTCCTTAGGAAAGGGAAAAAGAAGGGCCAAAGTCAGAGGGATCATTGGCCAAATAAGGTAGGAAACCTCTAAAAGTTGAAAAAAAGGAAAGAGATTCCCCTGATTACCCTCAAAAGGATCCTCAAAGGGACACGGTCTTGTCCCTCTGACATTTTTTGGTGGTAGTTGTGTAAATTCTCAACAACAACTTTATTTTTAAAAAATAAATTTTTATTTTCTCCTGGTTTGCTTACAAAATTTGTACCCACAGAACTTTTTTAAGAACCCTCTGGTCCTCACGATGTTCAATCAATTAGAAGAGACAGATATGCAAAAATAATGGCAATAAAGTGTTCTAAAGACACGTGATGATGCATGTTAAGTGGCGCAGAGCTCTCCAGTTCTCTACTCAAGCCCTAGTCTTAGCATTCCAACCAGCAGTACCAGCAGCATCTGGAGCTTATGGAAAAGGCAGAATCCCAGGTTCCATCCCAGTTACTGGACAGGAACCACAGGGGAACTGGGGCAGGGCTTCAGCACCATGTTTGACAAATGTTCAAGTAATACTGACGTTCACTGGAAGTTTAATCTTCAGTACTTGAGACAATGCTTATGCTTCATATTGTGGAAAAGGCAGAATCTCAGGCTCCATCTCACAGTTACTGGACAGGAACCACCAGCACAGGGCTTCGGCACCATGTTTACCAAAGGCTGCTGGGAGTTCGGACACTCACTGCAAGTTTAATTTTCAGTGCTGAGGTAGTGCTTATGTTTTACCTCCCTCACTTTCTGCTTCAAATTTAAATCTTGGAATATGCTCTACCGTCCTCATTACAGGACTTGAGAGATCTAGTTCTCAAAACCTGATCTCTCTTGAGGGTTCAAGTTTTCAGTGTAAAACACCAGGCACAAAGCCTGGTATGAGTATGGTCGCTGTTAGTGGCCTTTGCCCACTTTCTGCCCACTGTAGCAGCCATTGAGAAAGTGACTCATTGTAAACTCTGGTGGCTTAATCTGTAGGGAACTATACTGTTAACTCAAAGGGGGTGCCTCGCTGGTGATTCAAATCCACCAGCAGCTCCTGCAGAGAAAGATGGGCAATTGATGGTCCCCTGAAACCCACTGGGGGCTCAGCTATGGCTCTGTTGAAGTCAAGAGTTGAAGCTTACAATGAATCAGATAAAAACTACATCAATCACAAACTCATCAATGATCTCATTAAACTTGCTCTTCCCCGGCATTCATTGTACCGGTTTAACTCTTCATTCTATTATCTTTCTCTCCAGTGAAGCATACATTGCCATCTGTGGTCCTCTCTAGCTCCTTTTCCTGCTCCCTGCCCTCCTCTCTCCCCCATATTCACTACATATATAATCAGCCATGAAGCTAATCTTGTTCAGTTATAGAAACATTACTCATATTTTCTAGTTGCAACTTTTACTAATGCTTCTCCCCTTAACTGCCTATGCCCCCTCTTAATGTTTCCATGGTGATAATCTCTTCTTGTTCAGCTTATTTGTTAGCTGGATTTTTGTTAAAAATGCAGAACTGGGAGCGCCACCCACTGCTGAAAATCTTCTCAGTTCAGCTATGCAAAGGTTGGCTTGAAGCCTTTATATAAAATACAAAATTCCTTATATTAATAAAATATTAGAACTAATATTAATGTCCCTTCATGATCTGGCCCCAGCTAGTCTTCCTTCTCTGAAAACTCCACAAGGAACCTGTTGCCCAGAGCCCAAGAAGCCCACTTCTCAGAGAACCCTTTGTCCATCTCTTCTGCCCCAAACAGTACTTCTCATTCTGACCCCAAGGCCACTCCTTGGTCTTCAAAATACCTATTTCTGCTTGAGGTAGAATTCATTACTTCTTCTTCTCTATGTAAACACTGGTAGAACATCTGAAATCTTCTTTATTTAAATTTGAGTCTACAAATATTTCTCAAGCACCATTAAATCCAATGCTAAGGCCTAGGATACAGAGAAAAAGGAAGACACCATCCCTTCCAGGAAGGAGCTTACAGTTTATTATGGTTAGTTAATTATACATATAACTATTAGGCTACCTTCCTTTAAATAACTAGAAGACCGTATACAAATGTTTCCATTTTCATCTTCTTCTTGGTTTTTCTAATGGCGGCAGTGGGACACAGGGGCAGGTATCATAGACAGAACCTTGTTGGGATCATGTGGTATGGTTTCCTCCAGAATCCATTTCCTCCATCCGTCATGCCAGAAGCCTCTCAATATATCTGGGTACATTTATGGTTCTGGAGATGCTCCAGAGAGAGAGGAAATATCATAATCTATGAGAATAGCAGGGAGTTCTGGTGGCCTAGTGGTAAGAAGCTGCACTGCAATCCTGAAGGCTCGCGGTTCAAATCCATCAGCTTCTGCACAGGAGAAGGATGAGCTACCTCCTCCCATGTGATTTGCTGCCTCTGAAAACCTGGCAGACCACCGGAAGACTAGCACCTAGAGAGTTCCTGTAACATTCCTAGAACCTACTTATGGGAGAAAGGAGTTAAGGAGAAAATGTACAGAAAATTAAGGCAAAGCCTAGAAACCCAATTTGTGAATTAAATGTAAAGAAACTGATCTGTTCTCATCATCTAAGGTCTTACTAAGCCTCATCTGATGGTTTTCCTGATACACGAGTAGATAAATTCCTTTTCTTATTTAAACAAGTGTAGGCTGGGTATTCTGATACTGATAACTATGTTGTTGTTATCGTTAGGTGCCATCAAGTCTGAACTGACTCCTCGCTGGGACTCCAGAGGGTTTTCAGAGGCTGTAAATCTCACAGGAGGAGATTCTTCAAAACTCTACATCCAAAATCTCAAGGCTTAGAGTTGATTCTGATTCAGAGTGACCCTCCGCAGGCTTTTGGAGGTTGTAAATCTTAACTGGAGAAGACTGCTTATCTTGCTCTCTTGAAGACGTACTTAAATTTGACCCACTCAAGCCTCACAGCCTCACAGCAGGGCAAAATGCTATGGATTCCGCACCTCAACAATAACGACAGAGTTGTATACATGTTGAATTTTATTACTCTAACCAAATTCTACCCAACTTCCTTGCTTTTATAATTCTAGAAAAGAATGTGAGGTCTTTCACTTAAAGGTGTAGAAATCCCTGAAAGAGCACATATTTTGCTTCCATATCATTCTTGGGAGAGTGGAGGGACAGCACAAGAGAGGTAGACTCTGGATGAGATGGCCTGAGTCAGTGACCGGGGTAATGGGAATAGGTGTGTTGGAGACAGCAGGGTTTGCTCAGGAGAGAGCAGGGTTCAGAGCTGTTGTACATAGGGTTGCTATGAGTCATGGGTGACTTGACGGCACAAAACAGCAACATCCCAAAGCATGCTTGGTTGTGTGGACATCACATACAATGCACTTCTTACCTCTGGTTGCCTTCTTTTCGCGGCAACATGCAAAAGCTGAAGAAGGTGGTACTGTTCTTGTTGTTCCAGCTGAGACATCAAGACCAGGAGGTCTGTCAGGTGTCTGTTAATTGGCTGCGGCTGCTTTTCATACACGGCAGGTAATACACGCAACAAAATGGTGTTACCTGCCAAGGGAACAATAGAGGGGATGATGACTAGGTCAGCCCACGAGCACTACAGATAACACTATGTTCCACTGACAACCTCTGCACTGACTCACACATTGAGTAACAAGGATGATCAGGTCTTCTGCTAAATGTAACATACAACCTTGTTCTGAAAAATCACTAAAGCATGATTTAAAGTGGGAGCATTCTATGAGAAGCTTGGCACTGCTATGGAAAGAAAAGTTTTCCTGAGTAATGCTCCACAGGGAAAGAGCTCACAGTCTGACAGTAATCTAACCACGCCCTTGAGAGGGAAATGGTTCTGATAAAGAATTCCTGACAAACAGCCACGTTTGGATGGCGCTTAAATAAAAACGAATGGCATAAATGTGAACCTCAATGAATCCGAGCAATAACATTTTGAAAAAATGCAAAGGAATGTATTCACATTCCTAAGATATATACAGAGGTATAATTTTGACAACTGACATATGGAAATGAAGACTTATTTTTGTGAAAAGCTGTGTATTTTTACTTTAAAAAGTAGCATGACAAATTTAAATCCTCAATTTCTGCACTATTTCAAGGGAAGTTTAGACTCAGCTCGTTTGTCACTCATGATTTGTCTCAAAGGCATGTACAGACAACTGGGTTTAAAATAGCAAAACCTCAAGAAAACATAAGCTCCATAGGCTTAGCAAGCAAAGAACATATGGGAAACATCTGCTCATCACTTTATGGTATGGATGTTTTCTCAAAATTCTCTCAAATACTTAAATGTCTCAGAGGAGCTGGCTTCGAGAGATTTCTTGAACAAGAAATTTCTTACTTCTATTTACATTTGCCTTGTATATACAAGACGCACACAGAAAGAATCAAATAAGCAAGACTTGAATGAAAGGGACAGGCCCATATACAATGGAAACTTAGCTATGAGCATTACAAATCTGAAGCCAATATGTTCAGAATATCAATATCTAAATTAAAGGAGATGATATGGAGTTAAATTGAATATATTTGGACCATGATACAGGGTGGAATTTCTTCTTCCACCTGTACCTCATAGAATTTGTCTTGGACAGATTTTAGTTATGTGTACACAGAATGCACTATTCATTATTCAGGCATGTGTGTGTGTGTGTGTCATGTTCACTGTGTATATACATCTTTTATCCATTGTAAAACTTTTTTCATTTATTTTTAGATTATTCTTATTAGGAGCTGTTTCTTAAAGGATCGGGAGTTTTAAAAGTAACATCTGATCTCAACAGAACATAGTTCATAGAGCGTGTTTACTGATGATCTCCTGAAAACATCACATTAAGTGAGGCCGCAGTTGGACCCAGAGGCATGAAACTGTTCTTAGCTACTTTGGTACAAAATTCACTAAAGGCCATGGGAGACTTTTGGGGTTAAAGCTCAAATTAGTTCTTTTTAGCAAACTGAAAATTTGGATCAAATAACACAAGAAATACACTGGGTTTTAGCGTTCTTTAGTTACAAACTTATGAAGACAATTTGGTGTTAAAATCCCATAAATTCCACTAATAAGTAATTATGTTAATTTAATTACAAAATATTTCAAGCCATATTTGAAGTGTAGACACTAACATAAGGAACACAGTTGCATCTATAGACAACTTAAATTTGTGCCATAATTGTTTCTCTTATATGTCAGTAAACATTTAAAAACTGTATCACCAGTAAATACTGTGTAAATACTCTGCAACAAGTTTTTCCACTCACTATTACGGTGAGGTTTTCTCTCCAAGTTCTGTTTTGTTTGTTACCAGAGTTGTATGGCATTCCATTATACAAACATTCTTTATTCGTTCTGCATATAAAAGATTAAAGTTGTTTCTTTCCTTCCTTCTTGTTGTTGTTGTTGTGTGTCATTGAGTGAATCACCTGTGACTCACAGTGACCCTATATACAACATCTCTGAAGCCTGTCCTGTCCTGAGCCTGTCTCACTGACTGACACAAAAACTGATTCATAGCCGACTCCGTTAGTGGAAAGGAGACTGAAGAGCCTTTGGTAGACTTGAACCATCTGACTTTGGGTTGACACCTCAATTCTTTATTCAACAGGCACCAGAACGCCGTATATTTGCAAATAGTACTTGGGTTTTATGTCTTGTTTTGTTCATAAAACCAAATAAACCCACTGCTATTGTGTCTGCTCTCCCTCTGTGACCAGACCGGCAAGGCTGGATGGAAATCTGCAGGAGAGGAGAATGCCCATTCTTCCTCAACGTGGCTGGTCAGATGCCAACAGAACCAACCTCTCATATTAAAACAACTTAGTATCCTTGTCTATTCATATGCTCTAGGATAGCTCTTCTGAGCTTACTTTGCACAGAAATCACTGGATTATCTTGTTACAAAGAAGTCCTGGTGGAGCACTTGTTAAGCATTCAGACATTAACTGGACTTTTGGTGGTGTGAACGCACCACCCGTTCTAACTCTAGGTCAGAAAGAGAATGATGAAGCCATTTCCTTCTGCTTCTGTAAATATTTACAACTCAGGAATCATTCGGGCAGTAAGACTCTGTTCCATGAGGTCGCTGTGAGCCATAATCTACTCAGTAGCGGTGAGGATCTTTCTAAGGTACAGATGCTGACCCAGCAGGTTGGAGGTGGAGCCTGAGAGTCTGGATTCATTACCAGCTCCCGTGTGACACTAGGGCTGACACATCCTGAACCACGTGAGAAGAGATGTGGTGGGTTTACCCTAGCAAGAGAGTTGCTAGATGTTGTAAAATTGCTTTGCAAAGCGATTCTGTTTGTTTTCTATAGCTGTCCTAACAACCCACCACAAATTTGATGATTTAAAAGAATCTAAATTTATTATCTCCTGTAATTCAGAAGTCTCACACAGGTCTCCCTAGACTTGATTTTAATCGAGGGTGGATTTCTTCCTGCGGGATGTGGGAGAGAATCCATTTATTTCCTTGGCTTTTTCTCAGCTTCCCAAGTTTACCTGGAGACCCAATTAGCACAGACAGAGAACATGCTAACTGGAAGACTGGGGGTTCGCATCCACCCAGAGGGTCATCGAGAGAGGTATGATGATGATCTATTACAGAAAAAAAGTGAGTCGCTGAAAGCCCTTTGGAGCACAGCTGCTGGGACAGCAGGCTTACTGACACTGACATGGCCTGGTTAACGGACGAAGCGAAGAGCACAGCATCTCTCCGACACTACTCCAGTTATTGTCTCTCTTTATTTTCTACTCTTAAGGACTCTTGAGATCACATTGGGCTACCTCAAAAATCTAGGATGTTGTTGTTGTGTCTATAGAGTCGGAGCCGACCCACAGTTGACCCTCAGGCCCGTTTTCGGAGGTAGTGGATTGCTTGGGAAGACACTGCCCATCCTCCCTTGGAGTGGCTGGTGTTTGGGATTGCAGCACAGTTCCTTGCCACTAGGCCACCAGAGCTCCAATCTAGGGTAAGATTCTTATGTGTTGTCTTTGCTGGGTGTCCTTAAGTTGATGCCAAGTTACAGCCACTCTCACAGAGAAACACTGCCCTGAGCGGTTTCTAGGCTGAAATGTTTATGGGAAATAGATTGACATTGCTTCTGGGTAGATATAAACAATCAGCTTCTCATGTGACAGTTGAACAGTACCTGTTGCACCACTATATTTCTTCAATTTCCCCTGATAAGTGGGAAATAGTTTTGAACTGCTGAACTTTTAGTTAAGAGTCAATTGCTTAATCACCATACCACAGGGTTCCTTTAAAAAAATTATTGTCATTTGCTGTGGAATTGGAACTCATAGCTGACCCTCCAACAGGTTTTCAGAGGCAGTTAATTGCACAGGAGGACACTGTTCATCCTTCTTCTTTGGAGAAGCTGGTGGAGTCTAATCCTGTACATTTGGGATTATAATGCAGCTTCCTGGCCCTATACCACGAGAGCTCCCTTTTATAAAAAAAATAGCAAAAATAATTTCACCTGCAATCCTAACTTCTCTTAACTGTGTAAAATAACAGAATGTCTTCTTGGGTTTGAGGACTGGGATGCAGACATCTTTGGGGCATGTTATTGTTGACTGCCTTCAAGTCAAGCATAACTCATAGCAACCCTGTGAATAAAAGGCCTGAAGTCCCTCTACAACTATCGACAATTATCAAAGTCTCTGGAGGCATGTTTTGGGGCATGTTATTGTGCCTGATATTGAGGTGTTGTCTTAAACAATTCCAATTCCTACCAGCAAAGTGCTTCTTTTGTTCCATATCATTTGGTCTTGACAGATACTCACTTAGATTTTGTCATAGTAGCTGTGCGGTATCTAACTTTTCTTAAATTGACCTCTTGGTATATTTGTTATTATTATTGAAATGTAAGGTTTCCCCATCCCTCACACACACACACACACACACACACACACACACATTTTCTGCTGGGATTTAAAAAATAATTTATGCTTCTGGTATCTTACCATTGCTTTGCTAGAAGATGCCAAGGCTTGTGTGGCATGGCGGGCCTGGGAGCATCTTCTAGTTACTGCTTTTCCCAGTGTCTACTAAAGGCTGTGGCCCAATCCTGGTGCACTCACACTTTGGTGGGTGACAGAACCATTGCCTACCAGGTTGAGGGGCTGCAATTTTACCCCCCAGCTGCTGCCACCACTGTCCAGTTCCAGGAGCACGAATACCACAGGTACTTTGGGGAAAGCAATGCTGGCTAGCTATACAATGCAGGATATCTTAAGCTCAAGAAGAAGGGCTTGGGCCAGGTTGAGCTGGGCTAAGTCATAGTTTCTGGAAAGCAACAAAATTCTCTGTTCTGTCAGGCAGGTACTTTGGGTGAAACACCGCTTTCAGGCCCTCGGCCAGAAGGGAGCACAAGTACACATGCCCTTCATAAAGCATTTCCATACTCTGGGTCACTATACAGTTACAACAACCTACCATCTACTAAGAAAAGACTCACAAAATGTCAACTAAATAGCAGTCTGCCTCTGTCATCATGAAAAAAGAAAATAACCCTTCTCCTAAAAAAGCAGA